CCCCAAAACCCCAAAACCCCAAAACCCCTTTTACCGATGTAATAATTGCAAAAAGAGCAAAGGAAATAAGATATTTTAAAAATAAAATTTATACAGAAAAATATGGCTACTTCATGAAGAGAACTTGAAGATGATATAATCATTGCTCATAATGAGATCAGAGAAAATCCTGAAATATTAATACATGAGCTTGAAGATTTGATTGATGAGAAGAAGACGTATTATACCCCCTCGACCCATATGGCCTCGCTGATAGGAGCTAGTGATTTGAAAGACATTGTAAGAGCTAAAGGTTAATTTTTAGGCTTTTGAAGTCATTCAAAGAATTAGACAGCTATCTTCGACTAGTCCTCTGGTTCATACAAGAGAGCTTGAGTTGGCAGCAAGAGATCATTCTCATTCCCATCAACCAGAGCATGATCTCATAATGAGAGTAGAGAATTACACTAATTGGGATGGTGAGCTAAACGAGATTGTACATTATTCAAAAGCAACAGCAAGAGGAATAGATGTGCTAATGAATATGGCTATTTCAGATTATATTGGAGATACCAAGAATATTGAGACAATGTTTGGGTATCAGTATAAATACTTTGGAGTTCGTGTTACTAATCATGATCTCTATGATTTCTGAGTGGTCATAATCTATGCTCAAGAAGTGTATTCTACAGTGAAGTCAGCACTGCAGGCTTCTTCAAAAATTGATGAAGAGTTGAGGGAAGAAAGAGAATTACTTGCCAGAAATATAGCCAAGAACGACTCATACAATTATGACGTTTACTATGCAAGAGAGAATCCAAATGTACAAGTGCATGATTATATGAATAAGGCTTATAAGTCAAAAAGAAAAGTAAGCACATACATTTCCTCGCCCTACTGATAAGGGTTTCAATGAATAATTTTATGTTAATAGCAATGTTGGTTTGCCCAATAAATACAAGTGTTTTACATCTATTAACCAAAAATTTAAGAATTTTGGAATGGAATTTGGGTTTTCGAAGTTTTACCCATAAAATTATCTTTTAAATGATTTTGAAATCCTAACTTTGATTCCTAATCCAATTGTCAAAGGTGAGATTGAATGAAGATGCTGATGGTGAAAGAACATTCACTGTTCTTAGAAGGGATTCTTTGGAAAGAAATACTGAATATGCTCCACACAATGATCAAGATTATCAGTATATTGACAAGAGAAATTCAAGACTTTCTAAAGTCTCTGATGTACAAAGAAATAAACCCAACAGAATAACCTTAGGACCTGGAGAAAGGATATATCACCAGACCACAACTGATTATGATAGAGAATTATACAGTAAGTATTCAGGAAATATCTCAAATAACTAAAGATTTCATATAATTTAACCTTTTAGGTAAAAATGGTGAACTCGGAGGTCGATTCACTACTAATGAATGGGATAGAGATCCATATCCTCAAAGATACACATTAAGTAACCAGAGAGATTATGATGCTGAGCTATACTATGCTGATCTCAATGATGTGACACGCAGAGAAGAATCTATTGTATCAAACTACCCAACGGTTTCACCAGAATTAACTTATGGAAATAGTGGCCGTAAAGGAAGAGGAACTGCTTTTGAAGGCGAGGAGATTACTTCTGAAAATGTCAGAACGATTAGATCTACAGCACATACTCCTCGGCAAAGAGTAAATAGAGATGTGTACGCCCCAGTAATCAAAGGCATGGAGGACGAAGGATATTACTCCAGCCAAACTTCTAGAACCCACTCAAATATTGTTCCAGATGATGGAATTGAAGTAACATATGAAGAAGAACCAATGGACTACAATGATTTGGACTTTAGAGTATCAGATAGATATCCAGCTGGTTATGACACACAATCCATTGAGGAAGATGTTGCAGCCATTGATCGAGCTTCCAATACAAGAAGACAAGCTAGATTCATAGAAGATGAACCAAGAGTCACTCCCAATTACAAAATGACTGAGAGAGAAACCTTCAGAACATCAAAGGGAAATCGGATCGATGCTGCTCCTATTTCAAATGAAGAGTTTGTCCAAATGAAAGGAAAAAGAAATGATGATTTCAATTCTCCAGGTATGTCATCAAGCAAGAGAACCACAGCATTTACAACTAGAAGGAAGATAGCTCAAGATGACAGATACCAAAGAGAGATCAGTCGATTTGAAGACCCAAACCTAAGTGATAGCTTTTAGATTGTAAAATAAATATAGTTTTCAATAGAAAACTTAAAAATAGGGGTTTTGGGGTTTTGGGGTTTTGGGG